CGGGCCTTGAGAGAAAGAGTAAACCCAAAAGGCGTGATCAATGGGCTGCATCTGTCTAGGGTGTTTTTGGACGACATTTCGTCCTAGCGAAGATCTACAGTACAAGCTCGAAACGTCGTCCAGAAACGTCCTGAACAGATGCGGTTCATTAACAATACATATCAAGAATAGTTGAAGCATTCATGTTCAGACAGGTACAATACTTAGCCACCTTATAGCGGTAAGTAAGTTTCTTTGAGCCTTCCCCAGCTATCGCAAAAACCACGGAGAAAACGGCTTTAGAGAGCTCGGGAACCAGATCTTATATGGTGCAATATTTGTGGTCACTACTTTGTTGGAATTTTGGATTGGGATATCAGTTTTATTTCCTCATAGCGTAGAAATTAAGCGAATTCGACCATACTGGTGGGCGGTTCAGATTCCAGATATCGCAAGGAGTTTAAACTTCTATTCAGAATTAGAAGAATAAAAAAAAAGAGTTTGTTTGGGAATCAACTCGTCAAGCATTCAAGCATGTGATCCCTAATTTGCACACTGGGTGTTAAACAGTAAAGCGCACTATAATGTGAAATACAAATAGTTGCCAAAATGAAATTAAAATCATTTGTAATAACTAAACAAACATATTCCACAGATATATTACTAACATTTAAAGACAACGTGTCAATACGCGTGGTTTTGATGCATACTGTTAATCTAATACTAGCAGAGACCCGTAAAACATTTGTGATCGAATTAGTATCTTTATTAACAGTACTTCTTTAAATACAGGTAATATAAAGGAATTCTAATCGCAGACACCGAAATTTATAAGTCTACTAGTCTTAAACCTAACATTACTTAAGCCTTTATTAATTAAGATGTAAACAAAAGATGGATGTAAATAGGCTTTAGTAGACATTTTGCACAACATATTAAAAGCTTATCTAATTTTTTTAAAAAGGTCTAATGTTAGGTTGTAAAATAACATTATAACTTTATTTACTGATAGTATTAAGTACAGTAAAGCTTAGCCCTAATTAAACTAAAGAAAGACAGCGTACACAAGTTACAGCATTAATTCAAATCTTTATCGAATATAAGCCAGTTGAAATGAAGTGCGAACGCATGTACACTTAGTAAAGTGCACTGCATTTTCAGGACAGATAGGAACTGAGTATTATTATAATAGACTGATTCTAGACAAAGTAATAAAATATATTTCTTAGAATTAAATAAATACAGAACGTCTAAGATTAAAAGTTCAATGCTCTCATTGAATAAAAATGAGCGCAACTGCACGCTAAAGGAATTCAAATGTCAAATACATAGTAATGCAAATGATATAAACATTTTCTTTACTTTCATATAATCAATTTATCATGAATATACAATTAAATGTTTTTTTCGTCTTTTGTGAGCTGTATACTTTAATCAAAAAATAATTTACTTATAATTAAACATATTATACGACTTAACTTTGAGTTTTCTTTAACTATATATATAGAAACATAGCAACAAACTGACAGATATACAAGTACTAACATATGGTAGTACACACACTACCACTAAGCACTTACTATTAAAACACATGTAACAGACTTATCCTTCTAGCTGAAAAATCTCCATCCCATCTGTTATGACATATAGTCGACAAGCAAAATTAAGTTTGGTTGTCTTACAAAGAACTACATCAGTAATGTACATGTAAAGTTTTGAACTTACCAGTATCTTCGATACCACGAAAAGAGTCCTTATCATGGTTAAATCTAGCCTACTACAATAGGTGAAGTAAATAAAGAAGAAATCAGATTTAAGTATGATATTAGTTTTAAATATTCGCCTGCGACCTTGTGTCAAAGAAAGAAATCTCATTTTTGAAGTTTTAGAATTTTGTGGTTTTCTCGTTTTTTTATATAATCCATTTTTGAATTTGTAATATAATATATATTGCATATTTCTGTTTCCAACCTGGTACCTATGATACGTTTTTTATCTTAAAAAGCAACTAGACATGTTTCTGTTTCTAGCGTGTAATATGGTATGCTTACTATGCTTTCATTTCTAATCTACAGCATATTGTAATTATGACATTTTGCTGTTTATAAGTTGTGAAGTAGTACCTGCAATTAACCTGTGATACGCTTCTGTTTATACATAGTAATACTGTATTAATAACGGACTCTGTTATGATGTTTATAACATCCTTTATATTCTTATATGTAATATGGTTAACCTGAAATAAGCTAAAAATTATAACCTATAATACGTACTTAAAATATACCTGTTTCTATACCATTTAACATGATCCCAACGACATGCTCCTGGTTTAAAGTAGTAAAGTGACAGGAAATATATGCATCTCTTTTATACCCCGTATCATGATACATTGATGCATTTCTAGGCATGTTTCTATTTTTAGAATGTACCCTAGTTCCTATAATATGCTCTTCCACTGAATATCAAGCAATATTGTATTTATGACAAGTTTCATTTTCTAATATAAAATAAGAGCGAATAGCTTCTACAAGGCACTAGTATTTTTGTATGTGAACTCTTTGCTTTAAACAGATTACTACGTCTTGTTTTTAATGCTGCCATAATGTTTATCAACGTACAATTATGGAATAGGGTTCCAAACGTCCTGTAGTACACTTCACAATTCAGTTAAACTAATATTTCCCTTTTGACCTTCTCACTTTTTACATAACCCCATACAGCCTCAAGAATATTCATATTGAGACTTTCTGCTGGTCAAGCTATGCCTATGAGTATTCCACTAGTTTCTTTGCCGCCAAGGTATCGTTTAACAGATTTGCTGTATGCTTGGTATCATTGTTCTGTTGAAAGTTGAACCCCCAAATTCGGATTAATCTGTGTGAGATCCGATGTACATTAAAACCTTTGATTAGGCTTTCTTTTCTCAGCAACGGGTTTTGAGCAGCTACACTTCCATTGAGGCCACTTCGTGCTAATATCTTAATGTTCTGGAGGTAACATTCACACCTATATTTATACTACACAACCCGAAGTATTTAACATCGCCTTTAAAAGAGTTTCAGTTTTTTACCTCGACCGCGTGTACAAAGCCCATACTGAAACACAGGGTCTTGCCGCAATTTTCCGCATGGTATATCCTTAAGCAGACAAAAGTGATTTCTACACGCTTGTCATGCTGTGTTTCTGTCCCAAAGTCATAACTGGATTTCACTATGTTACTACCGGTTAGATTAGAATCAAGCACAATGTACACTATTAACACCTACTCTGGTGTAATTCACTTTCACACGCAGGGGTGACATTCCCATACCATTTACCTTTACACCACTGTCCTCACCGTTTCTCTAACGATTTCCATTAGTTCTAACAATATATATATATATACATATATGTGTGTGTGTGTGTGTGTTTTGATTCTTCTATGTGATATACAGATACTTATCTTAATAAGTTGTACACCTTAAATTTGCTACGTACATTTACAATGGTCAGAGAACTATTAATAAAACAAAAAGGTGTATAAGCTAACATTCACTATCTTGAAGGAACCCCTTCATAATCTCGTAGGACTTACAGCCGTTTGATTACTGAATCAATCAGCTATTAAATAACGCCAGATTTCCCCACAGATTAGGCAAATAAACCTGTAATTGCTGTTGGTATGCCGATCATGACATAAAGTTAACTGGCAAAGTGCTCCCACATTTGTTCAACTGTGTCCAAATCAGGGCTTCTTGGCGGTCAGAGTAGCAGCTATAGTCCATTTTGTACCTTATAAACTGTTAAGGTTTTGGAAGTGAAGCATATTGCTTCGTTCTTTTGCAGAACATTATTTGTACGGTTCAGAATTCCTTGAGCAAATTAACAATATGTTATACTGCAAAACAGATACGTACCATGCAGAACTGAGACAACCTGAAGTGAATGCAAGACTCGTCTTGCTTGCCACCAAATTTCTAACCAAACCGTGAAATCAAACCTTTGTGCGTGACGATTGGCTGTAAACACAACGTTATCACTCTAATTACTAGATTTACAATGCTCATTTTCCGGTGTTTATACACCAGTTCTCCATCTACGATATGCAAATACACGAACACGTTCATCTTTTGTAGGGTATTTAATTCTTATGGCAGGGATCTGTAGTGACTATGATTTGTTCCTGTATTGAATCTTCGATATGGTATCTGTGATATCATCCTGATTCTACTTTGAATGTTTGTGTTCAAGATATCCTTTTTATTCTAGCTTGTAATACACTGCATGTGATACGCATCTATTTCAGACCAAGAATATAGTATCTATGATATGGATTTGGTATGGTTCCTCTGACATGTCAATCTTTTTAACCTATAATGTGATTCCCAGTATTCTTCTTGCATTATTCTTCAACTCCTAGCTGTAATATGAAACCTATAATACAATTCTATTCCTAAAGAATGTTATGATGCCTAGGAAATTATACTGTTTACAGAAAATACTATTATAACTACGAGATGTTTTTGTTTTAACTAGAATAATGGTACTTATGACAATGTATTTAGCCCCCGTGATTGTCCCGAGTAAAGTCTTTCATTTCTAATCTATCAATGTCATTTTTAAACTTCTAATGTGATACCAGGAATATACTACTATTTACAACAAGTAATATGATACCTAAATTATGCTTTCTAACTTATAATGCCATACGTATGTTCATTGAAACTTAGGGTACTATTGGCAACGGCATTTATCTCACTCGTTATGTTAAAGTATTTCATGGGCACTTTTCTAACGAGAAGGTTTCACTTACAGTCCACAAAGCACCACTCAGGACATAGGTTTGGTTCCAAGTTTGATTTGTTTTCTATCGTTTTCTGTAACAACAAAAAATTTGTTAAGCTTTGAATATTTCAAAAGTTAAGATTTTAATTATTTTTCATAATGAATTTTGTTTGTTATTTACAAACACAAAATCTATTAATTTCCAATTTGGATAAAAATAATTATTGGATTCTAATTGGGTACTGACGACTACTTTTCAGGCTTAATTACAACAAAATTTTCAATTCTTTGAATTACAGCTGTTTAGTATGGTGAATAAGAACTGAAATACTTTTTCGAATAGAACAAAGGGGTGAGATTATGAACAATTATATATACACCTACCAATTTATTAATACTTAAATTTAAAATATGGTATGCTTCTTTCTTTATAAGCTGAAGGAAAGCAATAAAACATGTATTATACGAATTATTTATCAAAAGATAAAGCGTGGCCTACACATGATGACGCCAAGAAATTATCATATAAGCTTACGAAAAGCTTGGTCTAAAATTGTTAAATCTCACACCTTTACGGCAATAAGAATCAATGAAAAATATACCTATAAATAACAAAGAAACAGCTGTGAACACGTTCTAAACGTTCAGCGACTGCAAAGCATAATTTAAGTGTAGAAGGTCAGACTTCCGAATGAATGTTGTTGTTAACTAACAATAAAATACGATAATGTGTCCCATGTGGAGCTAGACGCAAATAAATACGACTTGAATCAGAGGTACGTAAGTCGTTAGGAAAATTTTAGTGAAACACTAAATATTCTGAGGCTGTTCAAACATTTCTTGTATATGTAGTGTTCACCCGTCTCATATCAATACGTGACACGTTGACACAAGTAACCTTATACTGTTGAATTAAAAAAAAGGCACATATGCATAAGTTTTTAGGTAATTAATCGGACTAGCAAGAGGTTGTTTCTAATTTTTACACCAATAATTTGTTAATATCGCAAATAATGATGACGTTAATAAAGCAAAATTCGAGTCGTACTAATCAGCAAATGTTGGTCACTTTATCATTGTTTGTATTAGATATTTCTTTAGTCCCTTTCCTAGTTCGTTTATTATTTATATTTAATTCTCTTGCTCAGCCAACTAACTTATATTATTTATCAACAAAATATTTTAAAAAGTTTTATATTTTTATTTACTCTAAATATCAGCGTATGTGTTAAATCCATGTCGTATTTTCTACTCATATTTTCTTCTCTAATGACATTCAAATATTCTCTTCACAGTTTGAAAATATAATTCTTATGTTTTTAGATAAATGTGGACATACAACGCTAGAAACCGGGTTTCGATACCCGTGGCGGGTAGAGCACAGATAGTCCTTTGTGTAGCTTTGTGCTTAAGTACAAGCAAGTAAGATAAATGTGTGCTAATATGGCTTGATGAAAGTTAAAATCTCAAAGAGGAACATAATATTCAATCATTTCGAAATTTCCTTGTTACATGAATCATACTTCTTCAAAGCTCGAAATGACCATGTATTGATGGACCTAACAGCCTCTATCTCGTGTTTGAAGTAGCATCATTTTGATCGAAAAAGCTGCTTTACATAGCTTAAAATTATTATTAATGTACTACCTAAGTAATTGTAAGAGGCTTCTTACAAACAACTGAAATAAATTCATCTTATTTCGGAGTAAATAGTTCGAATTTATCGTAACACCTCATTTGATTGAAAATATTGGCATAACATACGCCCCGTAATAATATCTATTATCAGATGTAATTAATTTTTTATATTTCATCTACTTAAACCCAGAATTTCCTTATCTTCCACTTCCATAAATAGTTCACGCAAAGTTACCTCACTATACTTTCTTTAGGCCTTCAATATATCTCTCTTCATTTTAATAAAAGACTAAAATATGTTTCTAGTCGTTTACATATTTAAATAAAATTCCCGACTGTTTAATTTATTATTATTATTATTACTGTATTATTCGTTTGCTGTTAAGCACAAAGTACACAATGCATTGTCTGTGTTCTGCCCACTGCAGATATCGAAACCAGAACTGTATCGTTATAAACCTCCAGATTTATCGCTGAGCCACCATGAACATTATTATTGTAATACTGTTTTTATTAAACGTGCGAGTTGCTGTTTTTGTTCAAAGTTTTGTCTGTAATCTTAGAATTCGTCCCTTAGTCAAGATATTTGTTAGTATTTTCAGACATAACTTGTATTTTTATAATTAATTAAAGTATGGTATTATATTCTATCATTTAAACTTTATGAATGCCATATAAATCAGCACAAAAATCCTGATCATGAAATAATTACTTCAAGTATTTACACAATGTCCAATTTAATATTTATTTTAAATAATTCCAGATTGGATTTTTGTATAACAAAAAAAAATCATTATTCAGAGCTGGAGTCAATTTCTACAGTATGTTTTGAATATTTTGTACAAATTTATTATTATTTTTTACTTAGAAAAAATTATACGTGTGACGAAGCTTGTACCATCGAAAATTAAGAACATATCATCTTGAAAGCATCTCTACCAATATAAATTTAAACGTTCTCTTTGATTTTTAGTTTCGGGTGCTATGTTAATTCAGTTTGCTGAAATGCCAAGTTTATGGACACATTAAGTGCTAGGGAGATGATGGTTGCACTTTCCACACAGAGATTAAATATTTGTATTTTTTAAGGCAAAGCTGCTAAGGCTATCTGTCACCATTCCTAATTTGCACTACTGAGAAGGGAAGGCAGAAAGTCAGCAGCACCATCCACACTAAGGGATTGGCTGTCACATTCATAACGCACATACAGCTTAAAGTACTGGTAATATATTGTGGTATCGTACGGATTTGAAAGTGGCTCGCCAGTTTCGAAATCTAGAACTCTCCTTACAACTAACCCACACCTCTCCTATAGCTTAAGCTGTACTATAAAGAACTGAATTTAGTCATTTCTAAGGAGGATAGAATTACGCATCTCTTACTTAAAACCCGAAATATTCTGATTAGGATAAACAACAGCAGTATTGAAGTTTATTATCTATCATATCTATTATACTTAATAAATATTTGTTTATACATCCTAACAGATAGTTAAAGGAAAGTAAAATGACGTTTTACCTCTAAAAGCTCATTAATTCGAGCTCGAATCTGTTCCAAATCAGTATCTAGGTCTACACATAGCTTTCCCAGAGGCACAGCTGAAAAACGCACACACGCTTATTATCATCCAAAAATACCTAAATGTGAAAAACTATAAAACTAAAGTGGGTAGAGTTAGTCCGTTTAAAACACCTTTACCTCCAAACAAATCTATTTTGTACGATACTCCAGACAGTTTAACAAAGACCGTTTAAAAATTATATGAAATATAAACGAAACAACGTAAAAGAAATGGGGAAATATTAAATTAAGTATTATTTCAAAAAACACAAAGCACAGATTATTTATTTTAAATAACACGAATGAAAAACAACTTTTAAACATACTTACAGTTATAGTTGTATCGCCATTGAAATATTTTAAAGGTTCTTTTAAACTAAAAATACACAACAACAGTATTTTACTGATATCAACACAATAAGAAAAATAATGTACAGATAAAATTAACTAATGAAGACCTTTTATTTTTCTGAAGAAGAATAGTCAACTATTTGAAAGCTCTCGAGTTTTGGGTCTTTTTAAAAAAAAATCATTGCACCTTTGTGTGCCAACTCTTTTATCACAATAACTAATTTTCATATTCAGTAATTTATTATAATTATTTTAAGGCGTTTTAAGGTAACGAAGTATACAAGAAAAATTCTTAAAGACAGGAGTTGCCTAGGAGTTTGATGCTGACAATGTTTCAGATAAATGATAGGGCCCAACTTGACTGATGAATCCGAAACGTTGTCAGTATCAGAAAGTCCCACGCAGTTGCGATTTATAGCCAATGTTCATGTATTATAATAATTATTTGTTTACTTAACGGTAAAAAATACTCAGTATATCTAGTGGTAGGCTTCCAGTGGAAAGTTTATGTAACGGCTGAAAATATTACAAATAACGTCTTACTAATTTCCCAATGTTTTTTTTCTTTCTTACATCATCTCTTGTTAAAAGAAAATGCGTTGAATGGCTGAAGTCATCCTTTGTTTCGGTATTCTTCTCTTGGTTAAATCAGAGTCAAATAATTCTCTCACTAATAGTAACTATATTGTTTATTTGTTATTAGGCAAAACCCGAATTGTACGTTATAAGCCCCTGGGGGGGGGAGGTAAAAGTAAGTCTAGGCTATTTTATATCCTATTAAAGTAAATGTTGTTTTTTTATTATTCCTGTAAACTCCCAGTGGAGCATAGGGCCGCGACAACAACTCGCCAACGGAAGTTGTTGTTGCAGTTACTTGTAGCAGGTTGGTTTTTTACGGGGTGGAGTTGCTAGCCCCGCGCCCAACCCTCCTCCTTTCTCATGCTGGACTTGGGACCAGGCAAAGGCGGAGGTTGGCATGCTTGGTGTGACGGGGTGTGACCCTCAGATTACGAGTCGAGCGCCCTAACCACCTGGCCATGCCGGGCCTAAGTAAATGTTTAATACTTGCAAATACTTAGCCTATCTAATGGGGCTTTTAACGTTAACTGTACTTGGGCCTTGTTTTATTAAAAACAATATGTCAAGTCCAATTAATTAATTTCAAAATATATCAATTCACGTAGTCAGTCAGAAAAAAACTATTTTGTTATTCTATCAACTTAATACAAAGCTTATTTATAGACTCATACAGAAGGTAGCGATGGAGGAACTTACACATTTCTTTCAGTTTTTCCTTATCATAATGAAACGTCTCGTATTTTGTCATATTGAGCCTTCGAACCTCCACTGTCAGTTTCTCCAACGTAGGCCTAAAACAGAAACATCACGTATTAAAGAAAGATGCGTATTTGCACATTATATAACACTGTGGCTATGCAAAGGGCATGTGTTTAAGTGGAAGGTGGAATTGAATTTCTGTTAAATTACATTGAGAGTATTATTACAGTTAGCTGATTGTCCTAATGTTAATTCTTGATTTAGGAGACACTTTTAATCTATTTTGGACTGATTTCAGATTGAAACATCACGTCCGGTAATCCATACTTTATGTTTCACTGTCTCTAAGGGAGACATAATCTATGTGAAAGAGAAAATAACTTATTACTGATGACGGGAAACGAACTGGATCAAAAAAAAAAAACAGCCGTGATTTGTATTTCAACAATAACAGTATACTTCTCAAACAGACAACGCTTTCATTTGATGTTATACATTTCGAAACAGTTGAAGCGTAGAAAATAACAATTCTGAACATACGCACACAGAAGTTTATTTGTGTTTGCAACAGGAAAGCAGGCAACATTAATGTTCGGGCCAACAATAATTCTGATAATAAGATATATCAACGATGTTATATAATATATTTTTCCATAGTTTTCAAAGCACGAGTTTCCGTCTTTGTTAAATGTGCATTTTTATTCATAAGCGGATCTTGCTGTAACTGAAACCGAATAACAATACTGCCTATATATATCATTCATCTTCATTAGTATGTTTACGAGTTCGATTTTTCGTCTCCAACTCACGATATTTCTGAGATGTACACACGTTTTGTAATAGTATGTTGTGTCATAACATCTGTAATTTTCAAAAAGGTCTTTTCTTGCACACACTTGTTTTAATTATATATCATTAAGATCCACACTTACTGAAATATTTAATGCGTTTTCTGTGGTTCTTAGTTACATATGGTTACATTTACTCTTTGTTTTTATAATGTTGATATAGTAACATTGAAATGGGATTTATGTAAATCGTTTACCCATCAATAGCTCCACCCCATTTCTTTTCACTATACTTTTCGTCAATGTGGAATAGGAGTCTAAGTAAACTGTCACGTGTGTACAATAGGCGTTTTAATTCTAAACAAACTTCTTTTGAATTTTAGTATATATAAATTTATCCTATATATATCTGTATCGATAAATATAGTCACTTTCATTCACTGTTTTTACCGTTTCATAATACAAATATCTGCTATTTTATTTACCTTAAAATGTGTATAAAATTAGACAAAACAGCGAGAAAGTATTTTCACGGGACTTTTCCTAACTTTTATCTTATTGGTTGTTTTCATAGTTCATAATTTGACTACCTGACATCCTGTACAATTGTTTTTTTATTCTGTCTAAAGTTATTGTCTTATGCATACAGCACTAATTTAAGAATATTATATAACTCTGTGAGGTTGTACTGGTTTTCTGGTGATAGTAATACAATCGTTCCTGAGGATCAGTTTCCGTTAAGTTTGACTAAAAGACCCGTCATTAATCACAAGAACTAAACAGAATCAAACCTAAAAAGGGAAAAGCCACTACCTCATCAGTAATTGATTAGGAGATTTTCAAGACAGGATGGTTACTTCAGAGCTGACTTAAAATAAACTTCATTACGTATCTCTCTCTCCTATTTGACCGTTACTCTGTTTTTAGGGTTAGAGATCGTAATTTGAGATACAGAGAACAAGACAAGCGTTGAATATTGTTACAAGGGTAAATAAGCTATTGTAAACATGGACTGCTCCTACCTCTTTCTAAAGAGGGACGATGTTTCGGTTTGTATACTGAGGCCTTCTTCGACCTGGAGAATACCTCAATATATAAATTGAAACGTCGTCCCATTCCATATTGTTGAACATGCTATAATATCTTCACGAAATATTTTCGAAATAATTTTAAAAGGGCTATTCGGAATCAAAGACAGTGTTTCATATGTATAATTTCATTAATGTGGGGAAAAAAGTGTAAAAAAAGAAGAAATTAAATTATTCTACCCCAGAATCTACCCGTTTAACAGCAAAATTAAAGTGTAAATCTTGGATACATTTTGAAAGACCGAGCTTAATCTTTCCAAACTGTTCGAAGTCTTCTTGAAATGAATATTCATTTTGCAATCTAAGGGCTTTCCAAGGAGAATATATATAAAAACAATATACTCCAACCGTTTTGTGTAAAGTTTAGTTTGTTTTGAATTTCGCGCAAAGCTACACGAGAGTTATCTGGGCTATACGTCCCTAATTTATTAGTGAAAGACTAGAGGGAAGGCAGTTAGTCATCACCACCCACCCTCAACGCTTGGGCTACTCTTTTACCAACAAATAGTTGGATTAACCATCAAATTATAACGCCTCCTCGGCTGAGAGGGCGAACATTACAGGTCGGACGGGAATTCGAACCCGCGACCCGCAGATTGTGAGTCGAGAGTCGAACGCCCTAACCACCTGCCAATGCCGGGGCTCTTTCGTAAAATACTAAACATACTTCAATTGTTGCTTCTCATTGTCTTAACAACGGTGATGATAATGTGACCGAAACCTTATTCAGTGCCACAAATTGCTTTCATAATTTCAATTATTCACTCCTTTATCTATGTTACTTTGGCATCAGTTAATGTTCTTAAAGCTCAGCACAGCCTCAACTACCTTCTTGGTGAAGCCTCTTAAAGCTCAGTACAGCCTGAACAAGGCTTTTAGCAAAGCCATTATAGAACAGTTATTGGTTTTCCAAGGATCTGTTGTTTAGATAGAATCTTGTTCCACAGTTTCACGCGGACTAGAATTAATAATGCATTAAAATATTATACATAGGTTTACAAGAAGTTTAACAATTCAGCTGAGATCAACAGCAGAAGAGTAGATTTTCTTAATGTCGTACAAAAAGCTGACAGTACTACCGAAACAGTCTGACAATCAAAATGGTGTATTTAAGTGTTTGAAAGAATAGACCATTCCAAGCTTTTACTTTTACTGACAATCAGCTACCCTAAGTCCCTAGAAATGTTTCGAATCAAAACAAACTAACTGTGAACATTAACAAATGCTTAAACGAACACTTAGTAACAATAAGAAATCATTAGTACTAAGCCCCAACTAGACTATTTGGTATAGCGGCTTGAGGAGCCACTTCTGTCGATGTCTATTTAAGATAAGTGAGTAAGAAACTAATAGAAACATCAAATTATACTTACATTGATTGTACATCACCATGCCTCTGAAAAAAAAGTATAAACGTTTACAGTTCACTTAAAATAATTAGGAGCAAAAGATAAAGCCTAATATTGTGTAAGTTTCTACTTAAACAATCATTTAATAATTTGTACTTAATTTTATTTCACAGAGAGGCGAAAAATATATTATACATATATTACATATATTATATAGGAGCTGATGAGAAAAGTCCAAAACTAACTGTTCACATCTTGTACAATATAAAGCAATGTTCATTTATTTGTCTTTTAACCATTTAGTGCTTTTTATAAAAAGATTGAAAAATACCCAACTCTTAAAAGTAAGTCCTAAATCTATATAAAAAACTGTTTTGCGCATATTCTTTCTGTGTTAATTATATAATTCATATGTTTTTATTTTCAGATGTTTTATAAGCAGTTTCATTTGCGATGTAAAAGTTTAATTATATGATCGTTTAATGCTTTAAAGTTCAGCAGCGATATCAATATTTTTCAGTTCTTCGAGTAAGATAGTTCAGAATGGAAATTATATTACGTCATATATTGGAATGAATATATATCTTATATATCTCAGAAGGTGCTCTAGCACTCTCTATGGAGGAGTGCAATGCAAAGACACGCCCTCCACTATTGCAATAATACATAAATTCAGCTAAAGTTTCTACTTCAACAGCCACCATAAGGCTGGTATAAAGAGCCGTTCCTTGAGTTGTACCCACTTTCTACGTTTCAAATTTGGCCCGTATGACACTTCTGCGGCCAATGACCGTTAATTAATTAATAACGTGAAACACTGTGGAACGACATTAAGAGCTGGGTGTTGAAAGCGGGCAACAGAAAGCACCCCTACCGCCATTTCTTTGGCCGCTACCTCTTAATATAAAGTCACGCTGATCATCGTACAATATATATATATATATATA